GGGGATCTAGATGCCATCTATAAAACATTTTATAAAAATTTTCCCTTAAATTCTGTGCTTGGGTGAACTTGACATTTCTTACCCAAATTACCTCCCATGTATCTAACATAATTGGTTCTTGAATATTTTGTGCCCATTTAATCATACAATCTTTAACTAATTCTGTTTCCTAATCAAATTCTATCAAAACACTATAAATTCTCCTAATATGAGCTCTACTTTGATCTTTAATCTGCTTTATCAAGTTCACATCTTCCAAAGTTAAACCAAGCTTTTGATCTATATGCCATCTCTCCACCAACTGACCATATAAAAACCAGGACTGGAGAATATTATCTTGTTTCAAATCATCCAATAATTTGAATTGCCAGTCCTGTCCTCTTGCAATAAGCAAATCCTTATAAACAATCCCTTTCAGTTTAACTCCCCTTGTAATTCCTTGTATTGCATGTTCCGGAATAGCCCAAATTGGAATTTTAAGATTTAATTTATAATAATACTTTTTCCAAGAATTTTTAGTTATTGAACTGTGTTTTTTGACTTGTTAACATGTTAAATGAAATTCCATTTGAATAATCTCACATCCTAAAGAAGTAGTTTAAAATTAAATTTAAGTGTAAATATGAGATAGTGAATGCACAGGAAAATACAAAAGTATAAAAATATTATCTAGTCATTCTCCCATATCATATGGTATGACTTATTTACCATTTTTCTTTTTCTAGCGTATATTCCATAGGCTGTTGATGGGAATACAAAATTAATAGGATTTTGCAAAGATTCAAAAGAGATGCTTTACAGTGTGTGTATTAAAATGCATGTGTCTGCATAACCATATGAAGAAAGTTGGAAGAGCTGTTAAAACAACTATGCAAAAGACAAGGCTGATTTAAAGATCTAAAGAAAAGCAATTTATTTGCACTCCTATGCCATATTTTTTTAAAGCATTGCATGGCCATAATTTTTTTTAGGGTTTCCTAAATAAGACAATTGTCTTACTTTATGTACAGTACATTTTCCTGTTATATAAAGTACTGTTTTTTACTTTTTAATTTAATCATCCCAGCATATATCTTGAAAAGGATATTTTTAGCAGCTTTATATTTACTGAGTTTTATATAGATACTCCTAAATTAAAACTATTTGTTTAGTAACCATTCAGTTACAATGGCATTGAAAAAAAATAGCTTATGATCAGCTTTCACTTATGACCATTGCAGCATCCCCATGGTCATGTGATCAAAATTTGGAGGCTTGGCAACTAGCATGTATTTATGACAGTTGCACTGTACCAAGATAGCAATAGCAATAGCCTTATATACCACTTGATCATGTGATCATTAGATTATCATTTGTAACCTTCCAGTTGGCTTCCGACAAGCAAAGTCAATGGGAGAAGCAAGAATCACTTAAGGCAGTGGTGGCGAACCTATGGCACGGGTGCCAGAGGGGCTGCACTCGGAGCCCTCTCTGTGGGCACACGCGCCATCGCCCCAGTCCTAGGCCTTCAGCTGGGTTTTATAAAACCTTTTCGCTTTAGGCCTCCACCGCCATGTGCAAAAAAAAAAAAGTTCAATCAGTCAATTTCAACTTCTCTCAGGAAAAAAAGATCTTGCAAAATTGGAATTGATTGATTGAACTTTTTAGTCCCACCCTGTCTGCCATTACCACCACAGCCACGCCCAGCCAATGGGCCACACCCACCCGACACTTGACGATGCATAAGTGGGTTTTGGGTTGCAGTTTGGGCACTCGGTCTCTAAAAGGTTCGCCATCACTGACTTAAGGACTGAATGATTGACTTAATAACTGCAGTAATTTGCTTAACAACTGTGGCAAAAAGTTGAAAAATCAGACGTGACTCACTTAAAACCACCTTGCCTAGCAACAAAAATTCTGGTTCCAATTGTGGTTGTAAGTAGAAAATTACCTATATAGCTAAATTTTGTTTAAATGGATATTTTATTAATTATTAAATTTGCTGCCTATCTTGCCTTGAGCCTACTCTAAGTGGCTTATAACCATAAAAAATGAAGAAATAAAAAGGAAGTTTAAACAGTGAAAGTAAAGTAATAAGTAAATAAATAAGTAAATAAAAAGAAAACAAAGAAAATACATCAATATAGCTAGTAAAAAAGATGAATGAATGGGAAGCAGAGAATGGGGGAGGGGAGGTGGAGCCTGTTGTCACATGCCCATAGGAATGCATTGATTCATTGAACAACAGCAGTGTTCGCAGAACAACCACAGAGTTTGCTTAAAGACTGCTACAAAAGAGGTCATAAAATCAGGTCAGTTGCTTGGGCTTCTGGACTTAAAAACTATCATAACTTATGATGGTAATTCTGGGTTCCATTACAGTCTTAAGTAGAGGACTTTCTGTATTCTAGAAGTAGCTTAGAATGTGTTACATGTAATATGCCCCCTGTATTTAAAAAAAAAACTATGCCAGATACATTGACATATTTTACCCCTTGATTATTTAATATAGCAAGGACTGGTAGGCCATATAAGTAGACCATGCTCTCAAGCAATCTTCTGTCAGGATACTTTCTGTTACTAAAATCCAGACTTCACAAATTTTATACTAAACTTGTCTTGAGTCCAATTTATTTGCTAGACTGCTTTTCTCCTTTGATTTAGAGCAGCTTATTTCTGTATTCTGAGTTGCTTGTCAGTAGAAAAATTACACTTTATTGTCTGCAGCTTACTATCGTAGAAGACATACACTCTATCTGTCTTTATCCACAGGCTGGATTTATATACTACAGTAAGTCATAGTGTGATTTGCTTGGTTTTGGTTTAGCATATTAATGGAATCTGTCCATTATATTTTGTAATCCAAAATATATATCTCAGTTATTTGTGGTTGAATAAAACCAAGCTAGTTCAGTATTTAAACCCAATCTGTGTTTCTAAAGAGATGTTTGATATGCTATTGTTCAATTTACTAAACTGCTGTTTTGAAAGAGAAAGTAGCAATGCCTTTTCTTCCTGGTTACATGGTTCAGGAAAGTACTGTAATCATATATGTATATCATAAATACACACATTGATGTTTGCTCCAAAGTAACCTCATTTGAATTCTTACCTCTATAAAGCTGTATAGAATCACAGCATTTAAGTTAGCACAGCATTATATCAAGTTGGACTTTATGTAAAAGATTGTAGCTTGCTCCATGTTTGAATTTCAGATAGTAATTTTAGACATTTACCTAGCCTTGCTGAATACAGCTATGATAATATAAGTAGATTGCAGCCTAATATTGCAAATATCTATCTGCACTTAATCTCATTTTTGAGTAGGTGTACATTGGACAGAGCTAAAAGATAATTCAGTATACGAATATCATGGAATGTAAACAATAATTTATAATTGTATAAATGTTTCAAGGAGTTCGGAATGGTCACAGACTGGTCCTCCGTTAATTCTTAGTCAGACCATGTAAAATGATGAAATTTTCGATTATTGAAAAATATATTGTAAACTTTTATTACATAACGTCGTCTATCTAACTATAATAAATATAATTTAGAGTAAGACGAACTTTCAAGGGAATTATAATCTGCCATCTTAAGTGGGAGAAGTAATTGAGAAGGATTTTATGTGTCTCCAAAAGAGAAAAGTGCTATACTAGACAGCTGCTGTGTTATAGTAGTTAAGGCATGGGATTGTCAGTAGGGAGACCCTGGTTCTAATCTAAATCTGACCCATGAAAGCTGTACTGCATGTTTTTAGATTAGTCACTCTCAACATACTCTATCTCAGAGGTTGGTTATTGCAGGGAAAATTGGGAAGAAGAGTTACATATACTACCTTGAATTCCTGAAGGCAAGTGGGTTAGAATGCAGTATTGCAGGCTAACTCTGCCCTCAGCCTGAAATTCGATCCTGACTGGCTTTAGGTTGACTCAGCCTTCCATCCTTCCAAGATCGGTAAAATGAGGACCCAAATTGTTGGGGATAATACGCTCACATTTCTAAACTGCTCAGAGGGTACTGTAAAGAACTGTGGAGCGGTATATAAGTGTTAGGTGCTATTGCTATTACTAATTATAAAGGTAAATCTTCATAGGAAAAAGAAAATGTAGAATCCTTTGTGCGTTCTGCTTGGAACTCTGCCATTTCTAGTGTTACTAATAGTTTTGGGATCAATTAGATTGTTGAATTTCCAGTAGTGATATTTTGAAAAAATAATTTAGTTTCACTCAATGTTTAATATAATTTTGCAGTGTTTCGTATCTTACATGAAATGCCTTTAACAAAACTTTAGAAACTGGAACAACTCAATCAGTATCCAGACTTCAACAACTACCTGATATTTGTTCTTACAAAGCTAAAAACTGAAGGTGAGTTTTATGTTAATTGTATCCAGTAATTACATAGCTAGATAAATTGGGTCAGAATTTCAAAGGTTTCTGAATATTTTATTCATCAAGACTTCATTGGTTGTTTAGTTCACCAGACTAGATTCCACTAGAATATTTTTCTTTATTCTGTGAACTAGAACAATTGCTCAGAAATAAATGAAATTTCTTTTCAAATAAATCTGTTTTGAATAATATCATAAATGTATTGAACAGTACCAGCATAAATTCTAATAGTTGTTAAAATTGTGCTAAAATATACTTTAACATGACCACAATATCTTTAAAATGGTATGCCAAACATTTTATGTTCTGAAATTGGTTTATGCATAAATTATCATTGTCAATTGACTATTTCATGCCTATTTTGGGTTGTCTATTCCACTGTAATTTAATACCGAATAGGGTGAATTATGCTCTACTTTCTTCAAAAATTAATCTTTCGCTTATGTATCTCCTTATTCAATATATAATATATACTCAAGTATTCTAAAACCCTGGATGTATTCCAAAACCATATTGTTTCTGTTATACAAGAAAACAAATTCTAATGGATGTGGTTTTAGATGATGATGATGAAGATGGAGGAGGAGGGATTATTTAACTATTGTAGCCTGAGTCTGTCCAAATCTTGAACATTTTCCAAATTAAGTCTATTTTGCTCAGGCTGTCTAAAATTACAGTTTAATTAATTTATTAGATATATAATAATTTTCATATACATTAAATTGGATTATGTACATTAAATGATATTGAACCTGGATGACATCCTGAGATCTAGTGTAGTGATATCCTGAGTTCTGTGTTGCAACATCCTGGGTGGTTGGCTATGTTGTAACATCCTGATGTAACACAGGATGTCATCACACAGCCAATTACCCAGGTCGTTACAACATAAAAGACTAATGGGCACACAGCCAGCACCTCAGCTACTCAGGATGTTACGGAACAGCCGAACAATCCGCAAACAATAACTCCAACACAGCCAACCAACCCACCTACAGCAACAAAGCCAGCACTCCACACACCCCCACCAATATTTATAGAGAGATGGCAGCTCCGATCACACTTTGCTCGCACAAGCACGAAACCGAAGACCCCAGCCTGAAGATGACGAGTGGGACCTCGTCGAAACATCGCCAAGATACTCTCAATCTTACACGGGAAAAGATCCAAATACGCCAAGACCTGCATACCTGTACCCGTGAAAATCTATGAATATATATATATATACACACACACATACATACACACACACACACACACACACACTTCATGAAATCAAGCGTTTTATGATTTGAGTTGTGCTTGCTCCCAAGTAGGTATATGGAAGATATAGCCTAAATGACTTCTTTAAAACTTATTACAGATGAACCAACTAGATCACTGAGTGGTCTTATTTTGAAGAATAATGTCAAAGCTCACTTTCACAACTTTCCTAATGGAGTAACTGACTTCATTAAAAGTGAGTGCTTAAACAATATTGGTGATTCCTCTCCGCTAATCAGAGCCACTGTAGGTGAGTCGTGAATATTTATTTATATTCTGTTTCTTTATGCTAAATAAACAAATGGTAAAATACAATTGGTAACAAACATTTTTAAGTGTAGTGTCCTAAAGGACTCGGTCTTTTTCTTTTCTTCAGAAAAAAATTGTGTGGGTAATTGATTGGTTCAGATATAAGTATTTTAGATGTCTGTTATACTATTATATATAATCATGTGTTTATTTAATATTTCTAATAAATGTATTCCAAGTCTTCTGCTTTTAATTTGTTTCATGATGAAAGTATGGATGATTATTTTAGCTCCTTCAGGTGTAGGATAATATGACAATATGAATTCCTCATGCATATTATCAGAAAGAATATTTTTAATTTTAAAATAGCTTCAGTATAAAAAGTTGACATACCTTACCTTTACTTGACACAGGATCACTGTTCTGCTTCAGGGAATATGATTTGAACATAGAAAAGCCTTGAAAAATTATGAAAACATAGGAAAGGACTTGTTACAAACATAGATTCAAAGATTAGTGTTAATGTTGCTACCTTGGGATTCATGCTGTGGTTTTCATGCAAAATCCTTATTTTTTTTCCTTTATTATATTTCAACTTGGTGTCTTCCAGTCTCAATGATAATAAGGAAGTTTAGTTTGTAATATATGAAAAAAATGTTCTCCACTCTTATCCTAAATGAGAAACAGTATTCCCCCGTATTTGTGTCAGCAGATCCTCCTAAACATTCTACAAATTCCCAAATCTTTGGGGAGAGTGAGAGGTACTTTGGAGCAAATGTGAATATGCATGGGGAAATAACAATAAGGAAAATCCCTGTTGCACGAACAGAAGTTATTTTATATGCTTATTTCATTGTCATAATGGTTTCTACCTCCAGAATATAGAATTAGAGCATCTCTGCTTATCAGTAGATGAGAAAGGCAACTGTTGACTATTCAGATGCTGTTGTATTAAATCAATTCCAATTGATGTGGCCAATTAGCGATAGTAGAACTGGAGACTTGATATATTTGAAGTGTGAAAATTGATCACCAAAGAACTGCCTTCTTAGCTTCAGCCATTGAGCAGAATTTCCCATTCCCAATAGTGCTTCCTTAAGTGCATATTCTAACCCTATAAGTAGAATTGCATATGTCATCGACTTGTCTACTGTTAAGGTAATGTTTTATGTCTTGAGGAAATCTGAGAAGAGTACAAGGGCATTTCTTTGCAGATTAGCTTTCCTCTCAGCTTGAATATCAGTCCATATTTATGTCTAAAATGTATGTGTGTATATACATCTTTACAAACATAGACATGCTTTATCTAGTTCCTTAAAGAGATGTTTTTAAATTTTTCCTGTTGGCCATCCTTATTTATGTATTAATTTTTTATATTGCTACATTAAAGCAACTTATTATCAATAATGTTTTAAAATTCAAGGTATCTTGATTACAACCATTGCCTCAAAAGGAGAATTGCAGAACTGGCCTGAACTTTTACCAAAGCTTTGTAGCCTGCTTGATTCTGAAGACTACAATACTTGTGAGGTGAGAGTTTGCTTTTTCTAATTAAAAAAGCCTTTTTATTTGGAATAGGTCAACAATGTGGTAATTATTATTTTTACTACTTTTATTTTTTTCTACATGGAACTGTGAGGTGGTTGGGCTGAGAAAGAATGACTGGGTCAAAGTCACACGGCCAGCTTTCATGCCTGAGGCATGAACTCAGTGTCTTCCAGTTTCTAACCTGGTGCCTTATCAAGTAAACGAGAGGTCCCCAACCTGGTCCGTGACCCATTACTGGGCCGTGTGCTCTTGGCCCCGTAAGTGGCTGGCCAGTGCACAGACGTGTGCGGGCTCATACCCCTTTGGGCATCTAGTGATGCCGTGACTGTCATGCAGGCGCTAGCATTGCCACGAGCGCACCACCCACTTGTGTTAGCGTTGTGGTATCGTGTCGCTGCTATCGTTGCGAGCGCACACATCCCCACTCGTGTTAGCATCATGGCATTGCGTGGGCCCTGGCGTCCCCCAAATGTCCCATGGGCGCTCATGGCCAAAGGAGTACTGTTAGTGAAGTTCATGGAGCGTGGTTCAACCATCAGTTCAGAAATCTACTATGAAACGTTACGAAAACTCAGACAAGCCATCCATAACAAGCATTGGGGCATGCTGACTTCCATTGTGGTGTTGGTATCGTGAACTTCACTAGCAGTACTCCTTTGGAATCTTCACATTTGGTGGGATTTTCTATGGCACCACTTGGTTGGTTCACGATAATGCTCGCCTGCACATCGCTAGACTCACCCAAGAACTTTTGAAGCAGTTCCTTTGGGATGTTTTTGATCACCCCCCCTCCCCATAGCCCAGATTTGGTGCCAAGGGACTACTACTAAAGAATTCTAAACCTTGTAAGACACTATGACAGGTGTCTCAATTTGAATGGTGATTATGTCGAAAAGTAAAGTAATGTAGTTTTCTAATATGTATAATAAAAGTTCTGTATCTGCGAGTGTTTATCATTGATAACCAAACAGAGGTTTATTTCCGAATTGCCCTCGTATGATGGGAATTAAATCATAGGCAGCTTCCCCCCAAATGGTTATAGTGTTCTGTATATTATTAAGCTATTTTTTAATTTTTGCTTAACTTTCTACAATTCTTTTTGAAGGAAATAAGGTGTCTTAGCAAAAAGAGCACAGCTAGATTAGGGCCTAGTGCTGTGTTCCAGTACCAAAGAGGCTTCAAAAGAAGAAGAAGAAAAGCTCCCCAAAGTCATAAAAATCTCCACAAAATTATAATACTAAAGGAATTAAAGTTAGGGTTGAAACTTAAAATCTAATATATATGTTAAACTTATAGATAATGACTGGCTTATAAAAATACAATATAATATTATAAGCAGATACAAAATATATAAAGGAAAACTTTTCCTAATAATACCACTACATTATTGTAAAATATCATAAAATCTATGCTAAAGAAAGTATATTGTTTCATCCTTTTATAACTGGAAAATGTTGCCTTTTCCTGGTCATTTTCTGCAATTAGGAGAAATCTTAGCTGATTAACTAAAGAAAGCATATTGTTGTAAAAATAAAGACTCACTCAGCTAGCAACTGGATTAGAAACAAATTCCTACTTCATTCCTTTTTATCTTTTCTTCCTTTACATTGAAAAATGTCATATTTGATCTTTCTGATAGTATTTTATGAAAAGAAAACAGTATTTTTTTTATAAGTTGTTGGGTAAATGCAACATATTTTGAAAGTTACATTGGTTCAGCATATGATGGCATACACACTGTTGGCCACCTCTCAGTTTACCCATATTATGTTAATGTAGCACAAGCTTTACTGGCTCCCAATTTCTTTTCAGGAGCTGCTTATCACTTTAAAGCACTATATCAGAGTTCCCTCAACCTTTCTGGCTTTGCAGACTGGCGCAGGGAGATGGGATTGTGTCTCATGAGTGGTGGGCAAGTTTGTGCGTGCCCAGCTCCACCACTTCCGTGTTCTGGTTCCAAAAGGCTCAAGTCCTGGTAGTGGGCTGCAGCCTAAGGATTGGGGACCCCTGCCCTATATGACACGAGGCCAGGTTATTTGTGAGACTGTTCTTCCCTGAGAGTGTCTACTGGCCTCACCCTGTCTAATAGGGTGGGTGTTCTTCAGCTCCTTCACTTAAATGTTGCCATCTAATGGGACCTAGCATGGCTTTTCTGTCTTTTCCCTCTCTGTGGATCATCCTTCTGCTGGGGATCTGGTAGTTCTCACCCTTTTAGTCTTTTGGATGTCTGAAAAAAGCTTGTTCTTCCCAGGGACTGAGGTCAGGTAGGATGGGAGCCTGTGGATGATTTTGTTGGAGGCATCCAAGTGAGACGGCTAAGTGCCTTTTCCTTTTATAGGTTTTATAGTTTTTGGTTTTATTGTTGTTTTGAGCTGTTCAGAATACTGTTCTAAGAGGGGTAGGCGTACAGATCTTTTAAGTAAATAAGATGTCAGCTGTATTTGGAATTCAACCTGCAGTGAGATGAGGTAATTTATTAAAATAAATGAGTCTGATGTTATTATATAAATATCAAAAAAAGACAAAAAATTATCTCACAGGGTGCATTTGGAGCTCTTCAGAAGATCTGTGAAGATTCAGCTGAAATCTTAGACAGTGATGCTTTAGATCGTCCCCTTAATATCATGATCCCTAAGTTTCTACAATTCTTCAAACATAGCAGTCCAAAAATAAGGTAAGAAATAAAGTTCTCTATCAATTATTTGAAAAGTTTGTTTACAGAATTTTCAATTTTAAATATAATTAACATGAGTGCACTGTTGAAATTTATTTATTTTAGTTTCTGCTATCATCCATTTATACACAACTCTGGGTAGTTTACAAAGGTTGAAAAAATAATAGGAATCAATTAAAGCACAAGAAGAAATGGCAAGGCCAAGCAAACCAAATAGTGGGCTGAGAGACCTGTGGTGTGAGCAGGGTCTTCAAGACTTTTTTGAAGGCAAACCGGCAGAAAAAGGGCAGTCTCCACAACAGAAAAAGCATCCTCTTGTGCTCCATTAGATGACATTGTTAATAGATGGGATTTGAAGGCCTACCCTATTGGATCTTACCAAATGGGCAGAGACAATTGGTGATCCTTGAAATATCCATGCCCTGTGTCATGCAGAGCTTTTTAGATAGCAATCAGCACTTTGAATTGCATCCATAAACCCAATAGTAACCTATACATTTTTCATAGCAGAGTTACTTTCTTTGCATAATCTGACTTATTCCAGGTTTTGGGCCTTGAATTTAATTCTTTGCTTTTACTTTTCAGATCTCGACACATTGTGAAAAAGGCCCTTTCTATTGACTTAACTTTTTTTCTGAGTTGGAAAGGTCATTTCATTTTTGTCTTAGACTTAGACAATTCATGTGCCACAAGTTATTCTTGTGACGTGTGATATTGAACTATTTATCTGAAAGGTGACTAGATTTTGCATTCTAGATATTATCAATCAATAATAGCTTGAATTTTAGATGACAGCATTTATCATTTTACTAGCCTTTAGAGTTCAATAAATACTTGATAAAAAGGAAGGTATCCAACCAGAATTTCTTCTACTAAGTAAGTCTAATATCATAGAGGTGCTCTCCTAATAACAGTATGGCTATAAAACTACAAGTAGCCCTTGAGTTACAACAGTAATTAGACTTTGTATTTCCATTGTTAAGCATATAAATTTAATACAGAAATAAGAGATGCACTCATAACGCGTGACATCACATGATCGCATCACTTAACAACCACAATTCTAGGAGTTTTCATTGCTGTTGTTAGTTGAATTCCATCAGTCAGTACCCAAATCCAAGCCGTTCCAGGCTTAGTCCCTATCAACCCCTGAGCTGCAGTTTTTTCCCAAGATAAGGATTGCCTCTCCTTCCAATCCCCTCAACTGCCTATTTCTCCCACCTATGCATTTTTGACTGCCCTGCACTCTGCCTTATAGGGCAGCAAGCAACGCCAGAATTTCATGGCTGTGGCTCTGTTTGCCACTTTGCAGCTCAGGCTTCTTGGCTCACTGTAGCTCTGGGGCTGCAAAAAATCCATGTATAAAGCATGAATTCCAGCCATCCCTGGAAGCCTCAGCCGCCTTAGCCCAGCCCACTAGCGTGGTGAGGTGTGCAGCCGACTCATGAAGCCCCAGCCTGTCCCAGCAAAGTAGTGCAGAGCTGCAGCCCCAACCCACCTCTCCTGACAAGGCATGCTTGCCCTGGCCCTTTGTGAAGCAGCAGCTGCCTTGTGAAGGACCAGACCAGGCATGCTTGTCAACAATAGGAGCAAGAAGACTGCGAAGGTCAGCTAGGGTAGCATGGAGTGCAGGGTACCAAAAGAGCATAGATGGAGCAAGAAGATAGAGGGGTGGGGAAGTTTAAGGAAACGTGCAGTTGTAAGGCTGCCAAGTGCCCAAATTTTGATCACATGGCCACAGGTTGCTGCAATGGTCGTAACCTCAGGGACTGGTTGTAACTCCCTCATTCAGTGCCACCATAAGTTTGGTCACTGAACAAATGATCATTGAGTGAGGACTTCCTATATAGCTGATACAGAATGTTTTTAACATTTCTGAAGCTGTTCCAGATATGCAATGTACCCACATGCTTTATTCATAGTATTAAATAGCAAGTTATTTTTCCCTTTGCAAAGAGATTGATGTTGAGTTTAATTCTAAGTAGTGGCAAATGTATTTGTTTGACTTTTTATAGTAATGTATAGTTTTTTTTAATATTATGTTTATAGGTCCCATGCAGTTGCTTGTGTCAATCAGTTTATCATCAGTAGAACTCAAGCCCTTATGATGCACATTGATGGATTTATTGAGGTGAGCGATTCATATTTGAGTGTACCTCTTGTGGATAATTTTGGATAATTATTTCTTTTTCCGAATGCCATTTTCCATTGCTTCAAACTAATCCCATTTGGATTGAAGAGAGAGCAAGTGGACATTAATATTTCTTTTTTTCCTTGATAAAGTATGACAACATTTACAAAAAACTACTTTAAAAGCCCCAGCCAGTAACTATAAAAATTGAGAATTTTATTTCAGTTAATAATTGAATTGCTTTTTCAGACATTTCCAGGGCCCAACTTTTCTGACTTTTTATTAATGTCTAGCCAAACAAATGGTCTAAGTAGTTCTCTATTTGTCTGACTTCCAGCTATGCTGGTGTCTGGTTGATGAGGGTACTTTGTCTACTTTTAAACTCCCTATTCTCTGCCCTGGCAGGATTGATTGGTATACCCGTTTGCTTGTAAATAAATGTATCTGCAATACATAGCAACCATTTTTATTTGTAATTAACTGATCTGAATGATGTTGAGCATTAGAAGAGACAGAACGTCCTGTACAAACTAAAACAGTTCTGTCTTGTCTACTAAAAGTATCTAAGCTGAGAAAGTTTTATCCATGGTTTAGCTTTTGTTACATTTATAATGCAATACAAATGTCTGCATTGTTGAATTAAAAGCATGAATATTGTTCCAGAACAGTGAGGTCTAGAAAGCTCTTAGGTCCATCATTTTTTGCTTTCAAATAATGTAGACTACTGAAAGAATCATGTTGATAATGTGAATATTAATTCATATTGATCTATATCTGTCTGTCTGTCTGTCTATCTTATCTATCTATCTATCTATCTATCTATCTATCTATCTATCTATCTAACACTTCTGTTCTTGTTTTTTGGATTCCCCTTTAACAGAATCTGTTTGCATTGGCTGGGGATGAGGAGCCTGAAGTACGTAAAAATGTTTGTCGGGCTCTGGTAATGTTGCTGGAAGTTAGAATGGACCGTTTACTTCCTCATATGATTAGTATTGTTGAGGTAACACTTTGCATGTATTTTTTTTAAAAAAGTATTAAGATGATACATTCTTTGAATTAGGGGTTTTTGGCAGATGCAACTTTTCCATTATTAATTATATAAAAATGCTTGAAAATCAAATCTGTAATTCAGAATTATTTCTTAATGTCCTGCTTGCGTTGCCTGTTGGTCTATTTTCTCTTAAGAGTGCATGCATGTATCTGTGTGTATTACTTTAGTATACAGAACAAAAGTATACAAAAAAGAATGTAAAATCAGTCATTTTTCAAAGTGTTGATCACAAAGCCAGTTCATAAGCAGACAGTAATATATTACTAATTTAATATTATAAATCCAGTCTGCCCTTTCCATTATGAAAGAATACTCTTGTTTGCTTATAACCTGTAATTCTTCCTACTGGTTTGTTCTACTACATCATTCAAAATCACATTCACATCTTTTTCTTACCAAAACCATATTTATTTATTATTTATTTATTTATTACTTTAATTTATATCCCGCCCTTCTCCCGAAGGACTCAGGGCGGCTTACAGGCAATAAAAACGGAACTATACAATAAATATCTAAAAACAATTAAAATATATATTAAATAAGCCTGTTATTTTTAGAAAAGTTATAAAATCCCTATTAAAATCCCTATACAATCCCCCCCCTAG